TATCTTAAACGTGGGGAGATAAATCAACTAATTATTATTGGAGTCTCAAATGTAATTTGGGCTAGAAAAAGGGAGTGCAATAATATAATGTTGGTGGCCCACTAATATTATTTAATTAATTAGAGGAGTGTGTCACTCCTCTAATTAATTAAGGAGCCCTATTCCTAATCTCCTAAGGGTCCCTACTGTAGCTTTATATATATATATATATATATATATATATATATCATTAAGCTCATGAGAAGAGATACATCTGTTCATTATACACGAACATGCCGCCCATCTCATACTCTCTTTCTAGATCTCATTCGAGTTTTATCTTCTTCTTGTTGTTCCACCGGTACAAGTTGAAGAAGAGTGTATTGAGTAATACAATAGAAGATCTGTAGGTAAACCGAGACGAAATATATTTTATCCTACAGAACTAACCGAAGGTCCGATTAAAGAACGGAGCATACCCAGACGACCGTCTCGACGTCAGCTTTCAGCTGCCGCCGAGATCGCCGTTGCACGCGCCCGCACGTGTCGCCGGGAGTGTTAGTGTTATATACTGAAAGCTTGGTTTTGCATGTTATTACACATTTACCCTTTATGAATGAAAATCATGTTAGATTAAACAAGTTCTACGTTCTGTTGTTCTGCACTTAGATAGGGTGGGTCGTCATCGTGCGAACCGAAGATCACTCTATCAGTCACTTGCGAACAAGAATAGTTGTTCACAACCTAGATGGACATGAACACCCCATCCAAACGGTTGTAGATGGACATGAACACCCCATCCAAACGGTTGTAGTGTCTTGACTGATTAGTTGCACTAGTACATTTATGTATTGAACAGGATCCCAGAGAGGAGAAGTTCATTTTGTACTGATCGTCGTAAATGAACTAGGCCTCGGTAAATTACTGCGTTCTTTTAACCCGTAAGATATTAAACAGGCAGATATATATAATATATATTACTTTGATTCACATGGGTGAGGTTCAGTTCGCTGGATTAATATTCCTACTGTTTTGGGTAATATTATTACATATAGGATGTGCTGTTAGGATATTTACGGTGCGTTAGTTTGATGATGTCCCCGGAGTGAGTTCATGAAGGATTGTTATGCTAAACCCTGCAGGTGGATTAAGTTTCGGCATAATAAGAATGTGATGGACGAGCACTAGTTTCGGTGAAATAATAATAAATTAATTAATTCTTGATTGTCAGTAATCGAATTAATTAATGGACATTATATCATAAACGTGGGGAGGTAAATCGAGTGATTATTATTGGAGTCTCAAATGTAATTTGGGCTAGAAAAAGAGAGTGCAATAATATAATATTGGTGGCCCATTAATATTATTTAATTAATTAGAGGAGTTGACACAGTTAGTCTAATTAATTAATGAGCCCTTTTTTCTAATCTCCTAAGGGTCCCTACTGTAGTTCTATATATACATCATTAAGCTCATGAGAAGAGAACAGAAGTCTCATTCACACGAGATACACACCCCACGCCTCTCTCTCTCTCTCTAGATCTCATTCGAGCTTTATCTTCTTCTTGTTGCTCCACTAGTACAAGTTGAAGAAGGGTATATTGAGTAATACAGTAGAAGATCTGTAGGTAAACCGAGACGAAATATATTTTGACCTACAGAACTAAGCAGAAGTCTGATTGAGACGTACAGCATACCCAGACGACCGTCTCGACGAGAGCTTTTCATCGCCGCCGAGATCGCAGCCGTCCAACGCCTCACGCGCCTTCACGCGCTGTCGGAAGCTCCCAGGCTGCAAAATTTCGTTTTGATCTGTTTGCATCCGTTTGATCCCATTTTTATCTGATCTTGTTCGCGCAACCCAAGAAGTGATTAGCAGTCAATCAATTGCGGTCAACCGTTCGTGATCAACCAGATCTACATAAATTTTAAGCCGTAAGTTCTCTACGTCAAACCTTTAGATCCGTTGTGCATAAGTTAACGTTTGCTATTGAATTCGTGACTTGTACATAACGAGATCCTCACTGATCCCAACAGGGAGCTCGCTGACTGCAAGATCCGTTTTCATCAGATTGCATCTGTTTGATCCGTTTTTCGATCCGATCTTGTTCGTGCAATCCCGATACGTGATTTGCGGTCATCCGTTCGTGGCCAACCAGATCTACATAAATTTTAAGCCGTAAGTTCTCTACGTCAAACCTTTAGATCCGCTGCGCATAGGTTTACGTTTGCTATTGAATTCGTGACTTGTACATAACAAGATCCTCATAGATCCCAACACGATATGGATATGCGATATCTAAATATGCAAAACTCTCTCGCATATGTTACATTATGTAGTGGATTTAGCTGTGTGATAACAAAATATGCTATTTCGCATAATTATTAACTATGTGTCCGATTTGGATATGCGTTGGTATATATGCGACAAAATCACACACAATTATTAATTATACGGTTCAATTGGATATGCGATTATTATATCACATATCATTTCGTGAGTTTTGGGATGAAAAAAAGTTCTCTTTTTTTTG